TTTTCTAACCGGGCAATAACCACTATAGGAGGCCGACTTTATTAGAGTTGATAGGGCACAAATATATATAATAATGTGCTCTGGTTAATACAATAATAATAATAATAATGATTAGGGTAATTTGTTCTTTTATTCGGCTTTCTAACCTTCTCAGAATTGCATCAATTAAGAAGCATTAACGGCCGCAGAGAAAGTTACTAGAGATCATGAAGAAGCTGTCGATTTTGTAAGGAAGGTGCAAAAGCGCATCAACAAGGAGGCTTACAAAGACTTTTTGATGACTTTATGTGCATACAGAAACAAGTGCAAGGATGTGGTGGATGTGTACAGGGACGTAGTTGAGCTGTTTGCAGACTATCCTGATTTGCTGGAGGGGTTTCACATATTTTTGCCAACTTCTGAGATGATAGCTGATCTGGAAAGCAAATTGTAGATTCTATGGATATATATAAACGAACTTGAATTGTGATCAAATTGAGTCATTAATTGGTTTTATACGTGTGTTTGCTTGCTGTAGTTTTGCATGTTAACTTAAGGTTGTAAAGCTAAGACCATATTAGAGGTACAACATTGTGTTTTTATTATTATTATTATTATAGATGTCCGAATCAATTTGTATGTATATCAATTAATCCTATGGATACTAAAATTAACAATCAGGTAAATCTTCAATGATCTTGAGGTTTGTAGGACTCGAACTGGTGATTTTTAAAAAGCAAACTTAAAACCTAACCAATTAAGTTATACCCTACGATTACATTATAGTATTTTATATTCATTAATAATGTGGGACAAGAAGAAATTATAATAAGGTTATTCAACTTATATTTAAATTAAGGATATATTGATATTTTCTATAGATTAATAATAGAAAAAAATACTCATTTTTTTTCCTTGTAAGATAATATTTACAACGTTTAGAGTTTTTGTTTCAAGTGTTTTTCACTTATATTCTATCTTTTTATACATATTATTTTTATTTTGTTGTTTTCATTTCATATATATATATATATTTTAAAAAATAACCTTGCAAGGTAATCTTCAAAGTATATATTTATCTAATTTTTAATTACTATACTTATGAATATTAAATTTAAATTTTATGTGGCATATGTTTAAACATGTAAGTGATTTAACAATAATTATTTTAAATATATACTTGAGTTAACATCATTTATCAACCTTCAATGTCTTCCATTTTCATGTATATTAAAGATATATTAAAAAAAACATTGTAGTTAAATATTGTTCCTTCAATTATGACAAATTGTGTCTCCATTTGTGATTCACATTTAAGTCAACAACTAAAACTTTGACTATTAATGAAAAAAAATTAAAATTTTTATTTTTTGTTTTTATATATAGTTTAAGCAAATAGAAACATGAATTCAATCTATAACTAGATATCATGCCTGCGTGATGCCGTGGGCTTGAGGCATACTTGTGTATTGTCGTGGGTTTATGGAGAAAAATAAAAAATTATATAGAAAAAAACTGTTGCAATTCATAATATTTTCAAGAAAAAAACTACAAAGTTAAGTTCTTAATCAGATTCATATTTACGAAATAAAATAAGTAAAGAAAATTTTGGAAAAAAATCATAACAAAAAAATCAAAAGGAAAAAAATCACTTAGAAAAACATTGTAGCAATCTATAGTATTTTATGAGAAAATCTACAATTACAATTCTCAACCAGCTTAATATTAAAAATAATAAAATCGATAAAGATAATTTTGAAACAAATCATAAAAAAATAATGTGGGAAAACATTGTAACAATTCATAATATTTTAAAGAAAAAAACTATGAAACTAAATTATTAATCAGCTCAATATGAAGAAAAAAATCCATAAAGACAATTTTAGAAAAAAATAAAAAAATCATATGAAGAAACACATTAGCAATCCATAATGTTTTTTTTTTTTAAAAAAACTATAAAGTTCAATTTTCAACTAGCTTCAAATTAAAAAAAATAAAAACAACAAAAACAATTTAAAAAAAAATGAAAAAAAAGAGACAATTTTGGGGAAAAAAGTCAACAAGGATAATTTAAAAAAATACAAAGATAATTTAAACCAGTTTAATATTAAAAAAAATACAAAGATAATTTAAAAAATACAAAGATAATCAACTAAATTTTCAACCAGTTTAATATTAAAAAATCGACAAAGATAATTTAAAAAAAAAAAGAAAAAAAATAATTTTGGGAAAAAAAATAAAAACATGTAAAGCTAAAAAAAATGAAAAAAAAATATAGAAAAAAAAGAGGAAAAATAAAAACGAAAAAAGCTATATTACTTTCCCATGTCTTATTAATTAATTATAAGGTTAATTATCAAGTTAACCTTTGTAGTATAGTTTTTAAATCTAATTGTGATCAATTGACACGAAGCAAGTTCAGAATCACTGGTTGAATGGATTAACATCACGTCAATTATCAACCTCCAAGATCTTTCATTTTCATGTATATTAAAGTTTTATAGTTTATTAAAAAAACAAAACATTGTAGTTAAATCAAAGGTTGGAGGTTGTCTCGAAACAAGTTTATGGCCATAGAAATGTTAATTAGAATTAACATTGATTAATTTATTTTTTTATTTTATAAAAAATTAAAATAATATTATTATTTATTTTAAAAAAATTAAAATTTTTTATTGGGTTTTATCGGGTTAAAAATCAACATGAATTTTTTACCGAATCATAACAAATTAATTCTTCTTTTAATTTTATTAAAATTAAAATCCGGATTAGTTTAGAGGTTAACTCATTAAGTCATGTGGGGTTTAAAAAAAAATGATTGCTACCAAGTCTGAATCCAATCCTTCTAGTGTTGGACTAAATTGAATACAAGTAAAGTAGTAGGACTAAAGATTAACATGTAAGTAACGTCCCGACTGGGCAAGTACAAAGCGTGACATTGATCATTGACCCCTCCCCTGCGGGCCTGTTCATTGGTAAAGTTTTTTCAACTCCTTCCGCATTTCTACTTGGCAATTAAAGACTCCGCCTGTCAAATGCCGTCGGAAGACTAAACCCGGTGACCTCCCAACGATTCTCTCTCCAGTAAGTTGGAACTCCAATCTCATCGACCCCTTTCCTCCCCCTCCTTCTGATAGGGTTTTTAATCTGAAATTGAAAAAGAAAAAAATAACTTTTTCAGTGACTTAGGGTTTTGTTTAGCGTAATTTTGGTGTAGTTTCTGTTGATTTCTTCGTTAGGTTCTTGTGTTTCAGTGATTATGAATGGCATTGCAGTGATTGAAATGAACATGCAGCCTTGATTGTACGTTGTTGATGTCTTCTAAGCCTTTCATTGATTTTGCTATTATTCTTTCTTTTGTAGAATTTTTTGCTTGGAAATTCTAAGAATTAATTTTTTTGGGCAATTTTTGTTTCTTTTATGAGAATATTGTACTTGGAAATTCTAATAATTAATATTTTTTTCTTTATGAGAATGTTGTTCATAATTTCCAAGAATATCCAGTCTAAATTTTTGTAAGATTGCTTCAAATATAGTAAATTTTTTTTATGGGGTTGAATGTAAGTGGAAAAGTGGGGGATTGATTTGCCAATGGAGGGATACTTGGGTTTAGTTTGGTCAATTGCTTGTGAAACATCAATGTTAAGCCTGACCTGGTTTATTTAATGGAATCTCATGTTGTTGTTGTTGTTGTTGTTGTTGTTTGTGGTTTACAGCTTGCAGGATGGGAAATGAT